GTTAATATTATTAGCCAATAACTGGCAATTATAAGTAAGCAAATGAGCAAGTATTATTAATATACACTACTAATAATTGCTAACTGATATTAACCACCTAATACTAACTGATACTAATTGATAGTCATTATTATCAGTTATTGTTAATATTATTAGCTAATATTATTAGCTATATATTATTGTTAATATTATTAGCTAATATTATTAGCTATATATTATTGTTAATATTATTAGTTAATATTATTAGCTATATATAGTTAATATTATTAGCTAATAATTGGCAATTATAAGTAAGCAAATGATCAAGTGTTATTAATATACACTACTAATAATTACTAACTGTTATTAACTACCTAATAATTAATACTAACTAATACTAATTAATAGTGTTATATTATTAGGCAGTTGTTGACACGCCTTGGAACTCTCCTTTCAAACAAATTAGGATATTTGTTGGATTCGTTAACTGGCAATTGTAAGTAAGCAAATGAGCAAGCATTGATACAGGTACCTGCACACGATGGTAAGTGTCAGTTTTCTCAGGGCTGCTGTTGATTCGCGCGACGGCTACTCCAATCACACGGCCAGATTTAACGCTGGTGGCGATCAGGCTCGTCGTGTCCTTCAACCACGTTCTTACGAGCTCCAGGTAATCGTTCACGGACGCTTGGTCCTGCAGCAACGAGGATGCCTTGCACATGGCTTCCTCGCGAAAGAAGTGGACCTGTGGACGTCGAAAGGAGCTTACAGCCTCTTGCAGAAGGTGACAGCAACGGTCGCTGCTGCTCGTGAACTTTTGTTTTCTCACGTAGCTGAACTTTGATCAGACGTAATGCTTCGTCGTATTGTGGCTCCTTCAGGTCGAGTATCTTGCATTTGGCCGACGAGTACCACTCGAGGGGAGCCTTCATTCGCGCCTCCGCTTCTAGCGCGTACTCGTCTCTCTCTTCCGTCATCACGTTCATTTTCAACAGATAGAGATAACCAATTCGTAGGTTTCTCGAGATTCGGCGCGCCGTAAATCTTACATGGCAATTTTTTACAAGAAATTTTCTTCAAAAGAGGAGGTTGCGCGATGGTTTATGAAATTCATGAAGATTCCCTGTACACGTACGCGTGCCTGCGAATTCGATATCTGTCCGGTCGAATTCGATGGGGTGCAACTTCAAGACTGTCGCGTCGTAGCCAGTTTCGAGTCAGCGGAGGTGAAATTTCTAGTTGAAATTCGATTGTCAGAGAGATCGTCAAGCAACTAAGGGAATACGAAGAATATCAAACGTAACATACAATTTGTTGCAACATGTTTGTTAGAAAGAATACCGAACAGAATATCGATTGGGCTAAGAAACGCAGCACGATCAAAGAAAGCGATGTCTCCACGCTGAGGCTTCGCATTTTGGCATTAAGGAAGTCACGGCTGTACGATGATTCGCAGTCTGCGGATGCGTCTATGGTGTGGGAGAGACTGTCGATCGGTTATCGTATCGTCGATCTTCAATTAAATAGATACCTGCAAGCGCTGCAGTTTGTACTAGTACATCGCCGTCCGAAGTACAGCTTGAAACATATTTGAAAGATAAAATTTAAAATTAATGTAAACGTTTAAAAGCTCATTTAAACTTGAGAGCGAATTTTTGTTTCATCATTGCACAGAGAGATAATTTTCCAAATTGGTTATCCTAAAAGTTTCTACCAAATGTACACACACACATATAA